ACGGTTTGGCAAAAACATGATATCAATCCAGGGCCTTTGCCCTTTGGTCCATATAACGCAATTTCCATCAGCCTCACTGAGAAATGTATTATCCAAATTAATAGTACGCCTTAAATTCTGAGCGCCTACTACACGAGCTTATCTTCTACAAATATGCGCCCTTTGCCACTTATATCAATAGATACAGTGAATCACATTACAGATGTAACCAAACTGTGCCCATACCAAAGGATAGAATGACCACTGAACACTGGTCTGCTTTATGGTAAACAATTTAGGCCTTAGTCCTACACATACACACTAAACTGGCCCAACGGTGTATGAAAATTAAAATGCTTTTTTTAAACGGCACCACTACAAGGTATCACTACAATAGGCACCACTACAAGGCAGCATTACAACTGGCACCACTACAAGATTTCTATATATATAAAACTTCTGTATAAATTGAGGGAAATACACAAACATGCTTCTAAAAGTCAATTCATAGATTTCTCCTTTAAACATAGACCAGCTTTGTTGAATAGGAACTTAATGTATTTTATATATTACAATTCTTAGTTATATTAATAAAATTAAGTTGGAATGGTCTTCAAATGCTTTGTTAATAGTAAATGATTCATTACAATTGATTATTTAACTAAATATGTACGTATATTTTTCTAACTATATATTTACAGCGCTTTTTGTTCTTGGGAAATTTATTAACAAATACATATACTTAATATTATTTTTTATTGAATATCATGCTGTTTTTACTACAATAATATCGCACATGAAACTAAGTACTGTCATAACTCAAAAGTAACGGAATTGAGAAAATACGAATTGAAAGTAAAAAAAAAAATTTGAATGAAACCATTTTTGTATTCTCGTTTATAAGTGGATAACTAATTATTATGTGAAAATAAAAATAATCCCATTATTCACAATAAGGTTCATTCCTTTTTTTTTAATTTTCATCGTGTTTTCTTAATACCATACTTTTTTAGTTACGACAGTATTTGTTTTTTTTTGTGCGATATTCGTCTAATTTTTTTGTGAAAATACTCCACTAATTTATTATTATTGTTATTGACACAAAATCGAAAAATAAACAAAAAATCCTACGACCCAACTCGAACCACCGTTTGTCGCCTCAACATGGCTACCGCTCCTACCAATTAGCTGGCTAGCAGATCTACGAATTTCTCTATGTGCTTGTCGCAGATCTTTGTACGGCTTTTTTTGGTGTTGCGCTTGTAAGACTTATGAAATGGTTCGACAAAACGAGTCCATTCAGATCGAAGAAATTTTTCTTTGCGTTTGTTCGATCTTTGTACCAATAAAGCTTTCTACACACCGAGACCGCCGACCCGGCGACGCAGCCGCCGGGTTGGTGTCGGCGGCCTTGCTTCTAGAATCATGTCATAGGATTAGATTAAAAATAAGGTCGCCGACACCAACCCGCTGTATCGCCGGGTCGGCGGGCTCGATATGTAGCAAGCTTGACATATAACATAAGAGTGAAGGCGATGATTCTAAAATCTCTCACTAGATGTCACTACCGGCGCAGAATGCCGAAATATCCACTACAAAGATCTTGAACAAAAAACACTGGAGAATTTCGGCTACTACCAACTAACGTAGCCCGTAGCTCAGTTGGTAAGAGCAATACTACGGTGCAGTATGGTCGTGGGTTCAAGTCCCATCGGGTCGAAGAAAATTTTTCTGTGTTCGATCTTCGTACTAATAATCATAATAAAAGCTAGTGAAGTTATTTCACAAAAAATCTCAATAATAAATACATAAACATACTTAATTATTGCTGACAAACCTCATTCTATAGTAATATAATTATAACCAAATCCGACTGGTAACGTTTCTTTGTGTTGTCTCCTTCACACACAGAGAGACCAAAAAGGATGGCAATATTTTTCTGTGTCGTAACGGTTCAGATTTATTTGACAACACTTCAATTATTCTGCATTTACAATTACATACACGTTTACTTTTAAAATGCAGTACTACGATAATGAGTACTATCGCCTGCATTAACAAACGCACGCAAAGAAAAATTAAATATTCCCATAAACGCACATTAAATTGCTGTAACATGAGCCAACATAAAACTAATGTTAGACCAAAATATTTTACGATGAAAATTTAATTATTTTCAACAAAAATTTACGTCTACGTATCATTGGGGACGAATGTAATAAATGTTCTTGTTTCTAGCGGGCAAAACTTAACTTTCAACATAATCATCATAAAATCTCAGTCTTATTGCCGTGTAAAATATGCATTGTGCCAATTTATTGCAATGCATCAAATACGTGATTTTACCTATAACTAATCAATTCCGCACTGTAAGAGTTAATGTTACCAAAATAAACACGTTTTAGTAAAACTTGTATAGAATACTTCAATTATGCCTAATTCAAAGCCTTTGTACTATCACGCGGATTTTCATGCTCTGCGTTCAAGTGTATTCTCTAAATATACCTCCTATTTACCGTCTTAGGGAGCCTTCAAATTAGGCGCTTATAGAAGCGTTGCAGTGGCGCCACAGTGGCGCTGAAGTCCGCTACTATTTTCATAAAACATTTAGGAGCGCTGTTGCGGTGCCTCTGTCGTGACACGCGCGTGTCACCTTTCAGTCACAATTAGTGAACTAAAAATTTATTGAAGCGCTAGCGTCTAATTTGAAGGCATTAAGGAATGAATTACGAAAAATCACATTTTACTTAAATACTAAATGCTACAGACACTCGAATAACACCTATTTCAAAGCCTGTCACACAAATTTAATTTCATCTGCGTTCATGTCTGTAGTTGAAACAGAACCCTTGTTAGAAGCCTTTGTCCTGTGACACTGTTTTGACTGCGTTCAATTATACTGTTTAAAAAGACCTTTTATAGTGTCAAATTTTCACAATTCTCGCTTTAAATAAACCAGTCAAGTCAATCAGTCCTGACGTACCGTCTAGAACCGTCTAGAATGAACATCATCCTGACTTTCAACCTGAAATATCAAATCCCTTTCGAAACCGAAATTCCAAAATTCCGAAACCTATTACTTTATTAGATTAGACTTAAAATATACAACTGCACTTCAAACATCAGTCTGGCTTTCAAGCTACGGTGGCTCGTGCTCTTTTACGTATTCTTTTATGTGTGTTCGTTACTTTACAATAATTCAAATGTAATTTATTTTAGAAAAGTATTTTTTCATGAAAAAAGTGGTCGGTGATAAGCAATCGAAAGAAATGCGCAAATTGAGACAAACTCGCTCGACAGCAAAAAGGCCTTTAACAATATAACAATTAGCTTACTACTTAATATCATGTTTATTGCATTAATTTATTTATACCATGACATTGATAACTAACTACAAGAGTGTCAAGCCGTGTAGAAAATATTACCCACGATAGTAATAAAACTACGGAACTCATTGCAGTGCCATCAACTTAGGGGATGGGGGCACTGCACTTATCAATGCGGAATGTGTCAGAAAAGGCTTCGTCATCAACAACCCATTTATACGTCTTACTGCTGGACACGGGTCTCTTCTCAGGCGAGGGTTTAGGCCATAGTCCGCCACACCAGCCCAATGGGAATTGCGGACTTTACATGTTTTCCGAGGGTTGTGAACCTTCTTCGACGTGCAGGTTTCATTACGCAGTTTTCCTTCACCGAAAACCTCATGGTAAATTTCAAATTAAATTTTGCACGTAAATTCCGAGAGGCTTTTCGAAGAGGCCTCGCTTGATAGGCAGTATGTCAAATCATTAGGCTACCATGGCTAGAAAAAGCTTTACGTCCGTACGTATATATTAAGAGCGAAAACGATATCGTACGTTTCGCGTCGGTAAACCTAATAGCAAAAAAACAAGCGTTATCATTTTTAAGAACTATCACTGGTTAGTTACTTCCAACATGCACGGATACTAACAACATCACTTATGCAAAGTTAGTTTTGCATTAGCCTATATTTCGGCAGCAAACCTTAAATACAGCTCCCATAATAAAAGTTAGTGGACAATTCGTACTCACAAAAGTCGATAGTATACTAGATTTTGTACCCACTAATTGTCAGTGAAATAGAGTTGAAATTAAACCTTCCTCTAAGGGCGCCTCCAAATTAGACACTTGTAGAAAGAAGCCTTCTATAGCGCTGCAGTTATTTTTAGTTTACTAATTTTATTGGGGTTGCAAAAATGGCGCTGCAACTGCGCTTCTAAATATTGCATGAAAATTAGTAGTAGCGCGACTGCAGCGCTAGTGGCGCCACTGTAGCGCTTCTATAAGAGTCTAATTGGAAGGCCCCTTACTGTCATTGAAAAAAAAGGAAATTAAATGAAAAATGTACATAAAGATTAGTTGCATTGTCCGGATTTCATATTATGTTTATTTAGTGTTATTGTGGTGGTGAGTTGCACTTATAAAATTTGCATAACTTTGAGTTAGGAAACCAGAAGATATTTAAACATGGCGTACATACTTAGAGATTTAGTAAACAATCCACGTGTTTTAGAGTTTTCGCTCTCACTCCTTTCCATTGAAACCCACATCCACAACGCTATCACACTTTGGTGCAAAACGTCACAAAGAATGCCAAACTTTTAAAATGTGAACGCGTGACCAGGTGATCGCCTTTAGTCTACGGAGTCCTTAATAATATTCTTTGAAAGATGTTTTCCGCGACATACCGATTATCTTACACTTACAATCAGAAATAAACCTTACGTGGGTTGACAACGGTACGATTTTTGAAAACGCCAAAGTACTGAACTTGATTAAAAGTAGAGTTCCTTGTGAAAGAGTTCGTCCACTGCAACCATACGTATTTCAGCCGCCAAGCAGTAATATGAGCATTTCCGTGTTCCGGTTTTGAAAGGTAAGGGTGCTGGTGAAATTATAGGCCCATGAAGCTTGTCGACTTATGTCTAAGTGCGCCTCTGACCTTTGTAATTTAAAGCTCTGAGGTGTCACTGCAATTGTTATGGACTAGCATGTCGCTTACCACTAGGTCCACAACTTGCTCGTTCCGTCACTTTGATATCTTTTTTTTTCTTTTTAAAACTTAAAGTGATATTCGTTTATATAAATAAACATAAAAGGTAACTTTATGTGCCGAACAAGAACATAAAGTGGCCTCAAAACGAAGGAATAATCAGTGCTAGAGCCAGAGCGACCAAAAAAATTCTCATATTTGTCTTACCGGGAATCGCACCCGGGAACTCGTCATCTTGGCACAGTGCTACTCGCTGGATCAACGAGATTGTCAATATAAATTATTATTAAAAAATATGCATAAAAATAGTACGTATCGAGGTTATTTTGCTTACATTTGCTTGAATCTTTGTACATGAAAAAAATACTATTCGAGAAACAATTGCATTAACAGAGCAAAACTATGAATGAATATACATCCCAGTTACTCCAATATGCGGCTGGGTACCTACATTAATTAAGCCGTTACAATTACTCATTTCTTCAAATTCCTCTTTACTATCACCATTACTTACTTTACTTATATCTACTCCATTTACCGTTGCATCTAAGCAATCTAAAAAATGTTCAAAGAAATTAGGGAAATTATCGTAACTTGGAAATACGTTTATATCGATAACGGCATGATTACCAGTTTCATTATCTAGTACTACGTCGAAACCCATTAGTAACAGACCGATTTCCTTTCGTAACACTCTAATAATATGTCTCACTTTAACTTCGTCAAGTTTCATTTGAACGTCAGATTTGTCATGAGGATCTAGAATGGAGAGCGTTGATTGGCTGTCCGCTTTACATACTTCGCCAGTGCTGTAGAATATTGGCTCTAAGTCGTCTGATGAGTAGAAGTTTTTAAGACTAGGTCTCTCGCAGATGTGATACCTAGAAAATAATAAAACAAGTTAGGGCGCCTTCAAATTCGACGCTTATTTATATAAGCGTTTCAGTGCTATGCTACTACGAATTTTCAACAGTCACGCCACGCGCCCGCCACTTTTTGCAAACTAGATATTGTATGAAAATTAGTAGTGGCGCACGTGGCGCGCCACAGACGCGCCGCTGCTGCGCTTCTACTAGCATCTAATTTGAAGGCGCCCTTAGTGTCGTTCGACGACATAGGTGGCGCAACCGTTAGACGTGTGGGTCCCGGATTCGATACCCGGTAAGACCAATGAAAGAAAATAATTTGTAAATTGGTTTGGTTTCTCTGGTGTACCGGGAAATCTTAGTTTGGTAAATGCTTCTTTCAGTAAAGTTTCGATTAATCAGCAATTATACATTCAAAATCAGTCACAATAAAGATCCCACTGCATGGCCCTATTCTCCTGTAAAGAGGACTATGGCTATAGTCTACCATGCCAGTGCTAGTTGGGAAACCAAAGAAAAAGGACTAACCAAAATCCAGGGTTACTGACCTGTTTCCGACCAAGAAAACTTTGTGAAGTACAGCATTATGATTGACAAAACTTTGCACGACACACGGCGATTTACACACGCTCAACCCTTTCTCATTGAATACCACAATCATTTCGTGTGCCGACTTGGACCCGTGTGCAATAGTAGGCTTACATATAACGGGGAATGTCACCCCTCTATCTTCCATAATTTGTAGATTATGTTCTATGTTGTTTGTGGTGAATTCTGCAAAGGTTGGTGTGAAGATTCCTTGTTTTTTAAACGACTGCTGCTCTTGTAATATTGAGTAGTAACAGTGCCTGAAACATTGTAATATATTTAAAAAAACGGAGCTTAGTTGGAAAGTATTATTATACAGGATGTAACAGAAAGGTACTATTTCAGCTGATGATTGCAGAACTTTTGTAAAATATCGTAGCAAGACGAAAATTCGTACAGTCTAGAGCAGATCAACCTTAACACTTTGGACCATTCTTATCGCAAGCGTCATAGAGTTGAAATGGAGCGTTCCAGGTATGCTGATATACGTATCAGTTCGACAGAACTACTGGGAATCCTAAATCCATATACCGATACCAGTAGTTCTGTCAACAGAACGGTACAACAGAACTAGTAGGAATAATCGGATAGAACCGAGAGAACTACTGGGAATCGTAAATCTATATACCGATACCAGTAGTTCTATCAACAGAACTAGTGGGAATAATCGGAATTTAAATCTTAAGCATCAAGCTTGACGTGTACATGACTTTATACCAGGATTTTTTTGCTTTTGTAAGCATAAGTTCAGATGACAAAAATTCAAATCGAAAGTCTAGAAAGCCCTACATTTTACATATACTCGTTCGTATGTACACGCGGTACCGCCGTGTTCAGAGGAAATATTTTAAAACGTTACGAATTAGTTAGATACGTCGCTGTTATAATTATATCGTTTAGAATTATAGGCACTGACAGTGTACCTGTTCAGATGACCGCGAGGTATCATTCACTGCAAATACTTACGCGCAACGCGCGTTACCTCTCGTCAACTGAACATTCCAACATGTGTGCGTCCATCGAAACCTAGCCTTGTTATCATGAACACAATCACCAACTGGAAATATTGTATCATACAAAACTCATTGTCGCAACTATACCGGAAATAAATGATTACAACGTACAACAAAAAAATTCTGAATCAGACTGACAGAGAGTAAATAACGTCTATTCGTAATAAAGGCAAAATCATGGTCACACCATTTTGTTACACACTTCGTACAAAGTTATACATATCACTTGGTATATTAAAAAAAAGTTGCTTAGGTTGTCTCCACAACCCGGGTGATAAACAGACATAGTGTACATAAGTGTTGCTAAACAATTCAGTTATTGCGCGTCGTCTTGCACTAATCGTGATGCTCACCAAAAACTATTATTGCGTAAAATTTTAATTTCAGGAAGCTAGTCCCATTATTATGTACAGGTTATTTCAAACTTTGCTACCAATAGGTACTATTATGTGACTGGTCAATTTACTGTGCGTACGATCATTGAGATTGAGTTAATAGTGAGGAGTTAATGTATATGCTTTCAATATGTTTGTATGCCTAATGTTTGGCTGCACAAAGTGAAATTATAATTATTTTGCACATGTCAACATATGTATATACAACCTGAGTTTTCGCAAATAAATTAATTACGAATTATAATATAAATCCCTTAATGAAACATTTTATGTATTAAAATAAAAAATCTAAAGTTCAAATAACTTTTGTGTATGGAAGAATGTGTGTTTGCGTGTGTGCTTACAAGTTAGATTTGCAACCCTCAAATGTACATTTATATTAAAAACATTAATGTCATATCGAGTTCTTAGGTTTTCGCGATTGTTACACATAGGAAATGAAACT